CACAAAATCGTTGAGTTTTCTAGAAACTTTATATGACATTATTTAAAATACATGTACTCGTAAATATAATGTGAACAAATTGCCGCTAATGTAAATATTAATGGTAGAGACAAGTCGAATAAAAATTATATTTTTGCAATATTTGAAAAAAAATTGAGCAATATGGTGTTTATGGCATATATAGAGTGCATTTATCACTATCTCTACCAAAAGGTTAAAGAAAAAATTTGGAGCTATGTTTGAGAAAATCTTGCTTTTCTAATTTTTTTTTAATTGCGCTTATTGCTCGAAAATTATTAAACGTTACAAAAAAGGTACATGACATTACTGAAAGAACTAATTATGGACAACAAATTTCATTTCCAGGGAAAATATCTATCTTCAATTTTGTAGTTATTGGAAGAGTCCGAAAATAAAGTCAAATATTTGAAATTTTCGAAAAATTCAGAGTTAATCGTGGTAATCGTACCTATGCCAAGTTTATGTGTATTTTACTCTATTCTAACAAGAAATGTTAGGACAAATTTAAAGCGTTTTTGAGAAAATTTTGAAAATGTCCAGGGGCATCATGTAAAATGCACTCGAATTTTAAAGAAAGTTTTTCAAATTTTCAATTTCTGAACAATGAACGTATTCCAACTGTATATGATTTTTGGAAATGATATTAATAAATCAGAACACGACACATCCTTAAAGTGTGTTTAAACAGTTACAGTATCAGTTATAGTTACAGCAAACATTACACCTGCTGTTTCTATGCGAAGGCTATTCCTCTCTTTGTGTTACAACGAATTCATCTGAGAAACACCTCATTTTATAGATGCATTATATCCAGGGAGAGTGAAGCCGAAGCTTATAGTCAACTCTATATAATTCCACGTTCACAACTAAGTGACCATAACCTACAACGGTGAACTCACATAAGGTGTTTGAATAAAAGCAGAAGTGCATCGCTCTTTCGGCTAACGGCGAACCAAACGGTAGCGAACTCTAAGGCACTACGAACTGTTCACAGAGCCCTACTGAACACAGCAATGTACATGATGAATCCAAACCCAGAGGATGCAGCGGTAGAACCGAAAATCGGGACATTTGCCATCCAGAAATTTATTTGTCGGAACACCGCGACAGAAGTTAGAAAATCTTTGAAAATCGAAACTGTCCCGGTAACCGTGACTTCTGGGACCCCTAAGACTGTCCCAAGCAATTAACGCTGAAATTTAATTTAATTAAATGATTTTTTACAATTAAGACGTGCCATTCTCTTTTGAGCTACGAAACAAAGACATCGCTCACCACTGATTCCGCGCTTTGCTTCACCGATATCGCGACGTCGGAGTCGATTCATTATGATACCAATACGACCCAAGTGATCTTGCTTCCTCTCAATTAAAGTTCAAGTTCCAAACGGTCTAACCTTCGAAAGTTATTTCAAAATATACACATTATTTTATTATACGAATGATATATTACTATTATTCGTGCACCCTAAAAAATGAATAGGTTGTGACGTAGTGAAATGAGAATAAATTCAAATAACAAAATAAAAATAGTATGTTAAAAGGTTATAGACAAGTTACAATAAATTGCTAATTTTAAACACTCCGGCAACCTTTTCCTTCCAGTACCCTGCTTTACCGCAGAAAAATAAAAGCCACGCGTGATGCGAGCTGTCGGACTTCCGTCCCGTGACAATTACCGTCACATGGCCTGATGCCAAAATTTAAACCGGTCGTGGCGACCGTGTGCCTGCAGCACGCGAGATCGTCTGGCCCTTACGCTCCGGACATCTCTCCCACACTCCTACACTCCTTGTACCTACTCGTACAACGCTCTCCGATGTAAACTGAATGAGAACGCGGGCGCAGTTGGCGCCGCGTTAAATAGTTGAGGGCTACCCCCCCCACCACCACCACCACCACACAAGTTCCCTAGATAGGCTCGCTTGCTGTCGGCAAGCGAGGGCTCGCTGGCTAGCATCTTAGGAGGGGGCTACACACACAAGATTCCCAGGTAGGCTCGCCTGCTGTCGGTAAGCGAGGGCTCGCTGGCTAGCATCCTAGGAGTTTACAGCCTAAGGTTATTTTTGGCTCTGCCACGCTGTCTGCGTCTACTGCCAGAGCGCAAACTCCCGGAAGTTCAGGCTCAACCCCTTCCTCCCTCGCAGCGCACTTTCACCGACATAACGGTTCTGGCCCTCGTGTTAACGACGCCACTAGGTATAGGTTTGTATGTATGTAGGTACGAGTACCTGGCGGGACTGCCCGTGAACAGGCTCAGGCCAACCGGCGACGTCCCTCCCTCGCGGGCATGGGTTAAGTGGATTCGTGTGGTTAGCACGCAGACATCCCCCACGCCGTATTCCGGTCTTCTCCACCTGAGAAGTGTATTTTCTCATCGTCACACGGCAACATATACTGGGGCATTGCGAATCAGGGACGTCCCGGGCAGACGCGCGGCTGAGAATCCCCGTGTAAAGGGCCCTATTGTCGAAAATCCTGCCACCGTCGAGACTGGGCCCCAGGATCTCCCGGTCAGTGGCACTGCAGTGACGTCAGTTGATTCCCTGAGCCACCTCTTCCGGTCCGGAGGTCACCTGGACACTCTAATCGAAAAGGCGGTAAAGGATCGTAGTGAAACCTACCACTCAGTTGCCGGCACCAACTCATATCGCCTTGATATTTTGCGTAAGCAACGGTGGCAGCTAGTATCTCGATCAGCGCGACACTAAATAGACTCACGTTCGTTGAAATAATGTTTGATCAGCTGCCTGTAGTCGCGGCGTGCTCAAGGCGGCCCAGTCGGCCTGTCCCAGAGTACTCTAACCCAGGTTGTCAGTCTCAACCGCTGGCGAGATTAGGTTAGGTCCTCCCTCGCTTAACCCCTCCCCCTTCACGGCAGTAACCCTCCCGGCGTAGCCACTAGCCCATTACGGCGGGACGCCTCTATGCAAGCTCTCTGGACTATCTGCTGGTCCACCGACTTCTCTCTGCGCGCGTAGAATCGAGCGCAAATCAAGTGTACGAAAACATCAAAAACAATGTTGCAAATCATCTTGGCTTTCCGAGTGATGCATGATATATTACAAAAAAATAAAGGAAATGGTATGCATTCACTGTAGCCTACAGCAAAGAGACAATCAACGCTCTAAAATACTCTGTCTCTAATTACTATTACTAAAATTACATTGTCTCGTAATTTGGTCATCAACGCTCACAGAGTGTTTCCATTTAATGTTAATAATTCGATATGGGTAAACAGAAATCAACAAGAAATTTGGTTAATAAAATATAATTTCAATAAATCACATGTATTCTATAATTCAATTTTTTTACATCATAAATAATTTTACATTTATTATTAATTTCTTCATATTATAGATTAAGTAAATACATAAATTAATATGCCGAGAAATATAGAATGTACGCATTTTTGCATTCCCCTTCTTGGTGTCTCAGAGATGCCTTTCTCTGGCCCGGTTGAGACTAGTTTCTCCTTCACACATACTATTCATTGCTCACCACCCCTTGCACCGATTTGACTCATGAGCCTGTATCGGTCTTTCTTTTTCTCACATTGTACTGTGTATTTTATCAATGTACGAGTAAAGCTCGTGACTATAAAATCGAAATTTTCTCCAAAGTTGGCATTTTTTAATGTCCACTGGTCTGTGAACAATACTAGCACCTAAATTATGCGTGGGATATTTCCCGAACTGAATTATCTCTGAACAATCTGGCCTCACTTGAAGCTCAGAGGTTTTGAGTGACATTCATTAATTTTTGGGGGTTCTTTACATGAAACCATTAAAACATTTTCTATATTTTCTCAAAAATTCGCTTCAAATTTTTTCTTTAAATTTCTTTTAAGAATAGTGTGAAATACACTTATCAAGGTGGCCGATTTTCACTGTTAACTCAAAATTTTTGAAAATTGCAAATGTTTAATTAACATTATAATTTCTTGCATTGGAACTTTCTGATTTGCAAATTTATTGATATCAACAAATTATTTGAAGTAAAATATCTTTTTCTACAGCTAAAATTGAAAATGAATTTAATCTACTTTTGCCCATTGTTGATCTTAAGTAGTTGTTAACACAGTTGAAAGCGAAAACTATAATTCAGTCGAACAATTAGAAATAGGTGTACACATACACAGGTGAAATCAACTTTTGGAAATAACATGTAAAGGTCAGTTGTTCAAAGAAATTCTGCAGCCAAGTTAATATTCGATAAACATTGTTTTAAAAAAAATGCACTGAAAACAGGCCACCCAAGGCATGTGCTTAGGTTAAGTCTATTCATAAATTTGCCATTGTATACATATATCTCTAAATAATCTTGTAAATTACATTCACTTTCTTCCTGTTTTATATCTATCTATATATTGAAAATAAAAAGGATGAAGGAGAGACTGGGGACTTAGATATTTATCATCTGCCCTGCAAGATCTATCATTAACTGTCTGAGTGCAGTATCAAATTCAGCAAAAGGCTGCTTCCACAGTGCTACTATTAGTAAATAAATCATAGCTAGTTACTTTGTGCTCAGGTACTCTACAAACTACTTAATTTCCAAAAAACTAGAAGAGAATGTAATGAAATAAATATAATTTAAGAAAAGAAAAGTTAAACTTCTGCCAATTCTTTATTAAAATAAATACAAGTACATAAATATATTTTTCATTTTCACTTAATTTTTTCAAATAATTTTGTAAACAGAACTCAATTCATGTAAGAAGACAAAAGATAAAATATTCTTTCTGACCAAAGAAAAGCCAGAACACCATTTCAACATTGTTACTTGTGAACATAATTTGTAATTAACTTTTCATAGTGGAAAATTGTATTTTTGAAAACCAAATTTCAAAACTCACATCCCAAACATTGTTTAAATTTGATTATTTAATTGTCCTCTTGTAATACTGTAAAACAAACAACAATTATAACTTCTTTTTACATTATTCAGCACCATTTTCTATCACAATTCAATTTTGCAAGCCATTTTTTACAATTCTTTCACACTTCTTCAATAATAATAACAATAATAATATTTAAAAAAAGTTAATTTTTTTAATGGTTTCACTTAAATTTAACAACACAATTTCAATTTTCAAATACTCAATTACAATTTATCAATTACACAGACATTCTTATACATACACAAAAGAACAAAGAATTCATTCAAAATGAAGCCCCACAAATTAGAATAAAAGAATCATTACGAATGACATTCCAAACATAAAGCTTATGTTTCTACAACTGCAAAAAATTAAAGCATTTACAAAATAAAAGTATGCATATACCAAATTTGTAGAAAACATCTCAGGTGTCAAATCTGTGGAAACCCAATGGCAACAGACAAAACCAGGTAAGAAAATAATGGAACTTTGATTTCAATTCATTATTTAGCATGTGTGTATTAACAATTACACATTCTTTGCACTATATATGAAAAAAACTTATTATTAAAATGACTGGTAAAAAATCTGAGAACCTTATTCATTAAATTATTACTGGATTATTGCATTTTTCTAAATGACAAACAAGACTAAATGCACTTAGAAGACGATGTATGCTATCAGAGAAAACAAAATACAGGAGGACTATTTTATCCTATAAAAATTCTGAATTCTAAGAATTTACATTACTTAGCAAATTGAAATAGAAATGTGTTGATTGAAAGAATCCTTTTGACATCTTTCTTAAATTTAGTCTCAAATCAAATTGGTAAAAGCAGTTGAAATGAAATACATTAATATGTTAGTAGGTACTTACACAAAATTCAAACTTTTTTGTCATTCTTCAGTTATAATTTTGAATTGACATAGTGCACATTGGTCTCAATTATAAGACTTTAAAACATCCTTTACGCCAGAAGAAATTCCCAAAAATGTTAGATGCTGAGGATTTATTTTTTTCAATTACAACACAACTGAAATAGCTATCACACACAAAGCCAGAACCAAATTGATATTCCAAAAGACAAATTAAGTCTCAAGTTTGTACAGCTATCTCATAAACCAAATATTTTCTGAAATTATTTAAAAACTTTGTTTCATTTTAGTTTTAGCGTGACATATTAGAAGAGTTTCCAACATTTTTGACATCCCATGAGCTAATTTTTCTGGTGATCCCTTAAAATTCAAACAGATCATTGTGAACAATGTAAAGCACATTAGTTTTAATATGAATATTCTAAAACGTTCATATTTAATTCACACGTTCAATTCTAATGAAAAATATTTTATCATCAGGAGAGAAATAACTTTACATAGATTATTTTCCACAATGCAATGATGGAAATTTTTGAAAAAGTGTAATTTTTCAAGCATCTTTATTTCCTCTTTTTAGCCCCTTCTTTAATATCATTCTCAGTCTTCTGTTGAGTAGTGTCTTCAGAAGTAATTAATTCCGCCGCTGCCCTGAAAAATTGATTTCACCATTAATATTAATATTTTGAATTCCATGAGCACAAAACATGTGTCAGTAAAGTAAATGCTATTGGAAACTAAAACATATGTTTAGTTACCCCAATTTCTGTAATGAACTATTCATCAAAGAACATTTTATAAATACAAGTTCTTCCTTAATCCTTTAGTATCATTGTTTTTGTGATTTGTGGGACCAGACGATAACATAAAATGGAATCAGTCTTTCCACTTAAAAAATATAAAATTAAAATGATTATACAAAAAAAAAAAAAGCAATTCCATATGAAGAAAAAGCTTGAATGGCTCCTACTGTAAGAGGCACTTTGTCCTGAACTAAAGTTGTAAGTTATAGTACAAATGGAATGAAGGGTGATGACTGATGATGAATGAAATGAAATGACACAGAATTGGGAAAACAGTTGCAGGTTTTGGGGTGATTCCTGGGGAGAAAATTTAAAATGTGAGTATATCTTAAAGGTTTTGGAAAAAACAGGAATTACTTAAGTAAAAAAATAAAATTTTGTAGATTGCTTAAGTTAGGTGGACAAGTGTGTTCAAGGCTCGAGTCTTGCCACATTAATAGTCATTGTGTCTTGTAATTTGGACATCGTCAAGCTTCACAAAGTGTTTCCATTTAATGTTAATAATTTGATATGGGTAAACAGAAATCAACAACAAATTAGGTTAATAAACTATAATTTCAATAAATCACACAAATTGAATAATTCAATTTTTTACATTATAAATAAAATTACATTTATTATTAATTTGTTCATTCATAGATTAAATAAATATATAAATTAATATGCCGAGAAATATAGTATGTACATATTTTGACATTCTCCTTCTTGGCTCTTTTTGGTGTCTCAGAGATGCCCTTCTCTTCCCTGGTTGAAACTAGTTACTCCTTTGCACATACTATTCATCGCTCTCCATCGATTGCACCAATTTGGCTCGTGAGCCTGTATCAGTCTTTGCATGCTGTACACTGGAAATTTCATCAATGGACAGTAAAGCTTGTGATTTTGAACTTGAAATTTTCTCAAAAATGGCTCAAAATATTTTCTTTAACTTATTTACTTAAATATCACAGCAAAAGTCTGATTTCCATTTTTGGCAATAGCAAAGTTGCAATTTTTTTCCATGCCCTTTTGCAACTATGTTATAAAAACATTTTTTTAATGACATTTGTTCTTCAAAATTAAGCCATTAAGTTCTTTTTTTTATTTAAGAGAAGTTTTCTTGTAAATTCAATTGAAATAGTGACCATTTTTTTTAAAAAAAATATGTACTGTACATAACTTTCTCAAAAACTGCTTGAATGTTTTCCCTCCCAAATATTTTGTGTAATAATAAGGCACATATCTAATTTTCTGGAAAACCTCTGGAATTTCCAAAATTGCAAAAGTTTAATTACTTTTTGAATTAGTTCTACGCCTTCATTATTGAAGCTATAGATTTCTTTCCTCAATGCTATCTATTCCCCAATATTCAATCTATAAAATAATTTCATGAACATAATTCTAACATATGGGTATTTACAGAGGAATTTTGAGTGACATAAGATTTTTGTTGAGATTTACAATCGATTGTATCTCTTAGGATGCCCTCATTTACTGGCTAGATGGTTGAGGAGGAAGGGGTAGTGAATTAACTTAAAAATGGAAAACCAGGATTTGATTCCACCATTTTCTGAGAATATTATTTTCTCACAATATTGTACTTTCTTGCCTACTGCTTATGCAGTAAAGAACCCGCAAATAAGTATTGTGATGCGGGGGGGGGATCGCGAATTTTTCAACATACAAACTCTTATTGCCAAGCTCTGGCAAGAAAGAAAGAACTGGATAAATCTTGTATGTACAAACATTTAGTAAATTACTTACTCTTAACACATTGTCAGAATTCACGTTTGGTGGGTCCTTGATAACAAAAACTTAACTAACAGAAAAATGTTGCATGATTCCATCAAAATTGATATGCCTCAATCGACCAGATTCACGTCACAGTGTTTTGAATTAGAAACAGATATTTTGTAGGAGAAACTTTATTATGAAGCCTCATCATTTTCAAAATTTTCTCAAAACTAGCTCTTTTATTTTTCTTAAAATATTTTCCTCTGAAAGACATAATGAAATGGCATAGATTGTGTTTCCAAAGCAATACCTGACTTTTTTTCCATAACAAAATCTGTTCATTAAGAAAAGATTATGCTCAATTGTATTGAAAATATGAGTTTTTTCAAATTTGTTTCATAATTTATTATGGTATTCAAAAATTGAAAGCCTGCTTTAAAGGAATCAAGGCAAGCTTGTGTGAAATTATCCTAGTTTTTCTGTAAAATCTGTCACAAATACTGTAACAGTTGAATTCATTCATGCGTGTTTCATTTGTAGAAGAAGGCAATGAGGTCTATTCCTGACTATCAAAATAAATGCAGATATCCACCACAGGCACTTTGCTTGAATTGGACTTTTCCAATTTATAGTCGAGGTGTTAGAACAGAAGAAATTGCAATATTTTGTAGCTGTTTTAATAATGTAAGAAAGTATGTGCTGTTGTAGCACCTCTAGAAGAGCAAAGTGCACCTATAATTATGAGGTAAGTCCAGTTTTCATTAAAAGCGGTAAACTTTCTTCTTCAACAAATGTTTGAAAATTGCAAATTTGGCAATACCACACTTTTTTTTATTGAACATTTCAAGAGAGAGCTGAAGAATTAAGTGTTGTTTTGTGTTACAATGTGAGAATTTTGCTGGAACTTGCAAAGGTTTGTACACCAGAAACTCTTAGAATGATTTCATCTATTAGATGCATGGGAGAGGGAGTAATATAAATTACACCCTCACCCATGCATCTAATAGATGTGATCATCCTAAGAGTTTCTTTCATGTCTTAAATAAATACAATTTACAATGTTATATTGTGTATTTGTAGCAAAAAATATAAGGAAGTATGTGCTGATATGACACCACTAGTTTCTCTAGAACTTAGAAACTAACTAGCAATCCCAATCCACATTTGTTTTTCAGAAGAATCGCTGATGATAAAATCTTATCAAGAAATCAAATCAAATAAAAAAAAGCCAATTACATTATGATAACCACTAAAAAGTAATTCTTCTATACGTAACGGACATATCCAATTTTGATCTAACATCAAAACTGTACATTACATCAGCTCTACAATTGTGTCACGATATCTGAAGCATTACATCTGCCGCAAAACATTACCGACACGTTCCATTACGAACCTGTCCACTTCCCGCTCCTCCACCTCCATCCCTGCCGCCCGGCCTCATCTTCCCTTCCCGAATACCCCGCCATCGCCGGCCGCGCCGCCACCAGCCCCTGTCTGCGCCGCTGCAACGCCATCCCTTAATACATACACGCTGTGCGGGTTGCATCAAACAAGTGTATTGTAGACAGATAGGGTGAGGGGGTGGAGAGAGAAAGAAAGAGAGAGAGAGAGAGAGAGAGAAAGAGAGAGAGAAAGAGAGAGAGAAAAAGAGAGAGAGAAAGAGAGAGAGAAAGAGAGAGAGAGAACGAGAGAGAGAACAAGAGAATATGATGAGAGGAGTAATAGTTAGAATTGCAATTTCTTGCTATTTCGATTCTCGGCCGCAAATATCAAAATCGAGAGCAATCATTCCAGTTCGAAATTTTGTGTGCGTCTGTGTACTATGAACCACGGAAAACTCCGATCAAAGCAACGAAAGTATCGTTCAGGAAGAGACATTACAATATTTTACTACACTGCAAATAACCCTAACGCTAGAATGACTTTTTGAATGATAACGTTTTTTTTAGACTAAATTGCATATTTGAATTTTGCATTATGAGTGACTTCCTTTACGAGTTGAGTTTTTAAAAAAACCATGTGGGTTGCAGGTTGCATTTGACATGAATATTTAGTTTTGTTCTTTGTTCTATTTTTTTCGTGAATTTTTCAGATATTTTAATACTTATTCTGCTATTCAGGGTAGAGATGAATTCAACAAAACATAAATATTTAAAATTGGGCAAGGCTTTCTATAGTTATAAATAGTGTACCTAACCCGACTTTGTTTTATATACATAGATTACTGAATTTTTATATTATTTATTTATTTAATTATTATATTATTTCCTTATCATTGATATGATTTCTGAGTTTTAGAAATTACAATCCTGTCATTCAATGGAGCTGCAACCCCCAGTTTGAGCACCAGCCGCCAATGATCCAATACAAGGGGCACGCTGGTGCATACAACATAAATTTTTGTATGTACATATGTATATAACCAATGTTCCTATGACTATGGACCATCATTGTTACTTCTAAACCAGTTTTTGCCCAACAATACTGAATCTTGGAGCAAGTAATACATAGCAGAGATTTTCGTAGATTTTGGTTTAGTTTTGGAGAAACTCAATCAACTTTGATTTTTAAAATGGAACTACATAGGTTTCTTTTTCTGCCAAGATATGTCAAAAAGAAAGGAATACAATGATGTATTATTTGTTAATGAGTTAAAATTTATTTTGAGTAAACAATATATTTTTGACACATGATTTGAAATTATACTCTGTACTCGATATGAACGGTAATTTCTGTTAGCAGCCTTTCCAGCCTTTGGGCAGGTGACATTCACAGTGAGACATGAAAAGGGGAGGCAGCAATGTAATGGACTCTTTACAGTTGCTAGCTACTTGCTAGTTAGTTCATTAATGTAACAAAGATGGAGGGAATTCAAAATATTCATGATGGAAGGAGAAAAAAAAAAAAAAAAAAAAATCGATCTGAATATAAATTTACAAAAATTCTACAGCAATACGCACCCTGACACAATGAATGCTACTTGCCCCAAAGAAGGTTGCCGCAAGTGCTGCCAAAGGAAATATTATCTGCACCAACTACTGTGTGTAGTTTCAAATCACATGCCAAAAAATGTATTTTTTATTCACAATTAATTTTAACTCATTAACAAATCATCTATTAAACAGGCTCGCCTCTCGCCCACCCTGCACATTTCAACCATCTCCCCAGCAACCCCTATCCATCCTGCCCACACATGCGCCCAACCCATCTAGACTTTCACTCTATCTGTTCCCCCCGCTCAGCACATTTCTCCTGCTTCTTTTGCTCCTTCCTTTCCACCCATTCCTCTGCCCAGCCCATTGATTCGGCCTGCCTCTGCCTTCCACTTTGTGCTCTCTTTTCACTCCTCTAGCTTCTCTTGCTCTCTTTCGGCCCCATTCGCTGCGCTCCCCCCTCCACTCTGGCAGCTCCATCCAATATTGGAAGGCCCCACCCCCCGTCAACCACCAACAATACCAAGCATTTGCAAACAAAGCAAACTTTAGGAATGGCATTTAACTAAATATTGCAAAATAACACATTTTGGGGCAAAAGAAATCTTTTGTATTCCACTGTGCTCTTATTAATACTCAAAAGTATTCATGTTGAATTTGGAAGCTATCACATCAGCAGTCCTAAAGTTTTTATGGAACATACAAACAAATATAATCACACTTTTTATTTCATAGAATATGAATGTATATACATACTTCCACTTTTATGGAAAATATTTTAATATAAGGCAACTAATTTCTGGCTTGTATCATAATCTAAATTATTTAACTACTTACAGTATTTATAATTTTTTTTAAAATAGTAAAAGGAAGAAAACATAAGTTCAGACCTTAGAATTTTTGTCTTCTGGTCATTACTTGCCCAGTCTACTGTGCCAGGCTCCATTACCAAAGTATCCAAAACCTTTTGAACTTCTTGTCTCAATTCCTGTAAGGGTATAACAAATATTGACAATAATTGAAAATACTCAAAAATGGAAAAACTTGCATAGTGTGAATCCTCCAGTGAAAATTTTCATGTTAAAAAGTTTAATTACTTTTTTGCATGTTCATAATAAAAATACATTTCAGATATATTATAGTTGCCGCAGTTGTCCATTTTTAGGCATTGAATGTACCTTATTTACCCGAATATACATCAACTCTGAATATGACAACCCCATCATTTTCAAGAGGCTTCCTGAGAATTTTTTAACTAATTCTTACTATTTAGTCAAAATAAAATTCCAAATTCTTATTGACTAGAAAATTACTTTGTTAATTAGAACGTTAAGACTTAATGCTGACCAATTATTTTCTTGTTCCTTAAAATCATCATAATCATGGTTTTGTCACTACCGTCATCATCTTCACATGTATCAATGTTTCCTTCTTTTTGGTCCTCCTTTCATGCTGCAAAGATCATTCAGACATTTTAGGACTCTCTGAAAGTTTTGCACATTGAATTTGCATTGATCTCAGTCTTTCATCAGATGCCACCTAAGAACATTCCCTTCTGGGTCGCCAGATTTTCAATCTGTCTTGGACTTCTTGATGGCTTCTGTTTCTTTAACAGTTCAAAAGCAGATTCGCACTTGCTGGGAGCCGTACCAAGATTCCACTTGGCCTCACTGAACGTTGAAAAAAACTCTTGCTGTATATTCGGGTAAATATGGTATATGAAAAATATTTGTTTATTTTTTCACTGCAAAATTAGGATCAATATAATCTTCAATTTGATGAATCAAGTGATAATGATTTGTGTAAATTCTAGAAAGAGATTAGAGTTAATTCATAGTGTTTTATCAATATACTCATAGGTGTATTGAAACTATCAAAGACATAAGTTTTAAAATTCTTCTAGAATATCTTAAAGGGAACCATCTATGAATTGTGTCAATTAATTTGTCGAGTTTAGAGGAAGAGAAAGCTAATCATATGTGCAAATCACTCATTGTTTCAGTTGCTAAAAAAATAAACACGTTTTACAGAAATTTCATAAAATTTCTCGGATGGATTCATAAAAAAAGATCAATTCCCTATTAGAACATAGCACTAAATGACACTTCATTTGTCTTGATTGGTGAACCTGAAGTAGTCTAATCATGAGTGATAAACAGACAGCTGAACACATGTTTCTCAATTATGATACAAAGATATTTGAAATTACAATTCAGAATTAATTAATTAAGAGTTAATACAGGTAAATTCATTTAGAGATAAACACTGTATTCTTATGTTTATGAGTTTCTATATTCTCTTAAATTTAATTGATAAAACTTACTTGAACAAGGGTGGCAAGATCTTTGGCACAGTTGAATGCGATATCATCATTAACTCGAATCACTTTGCCAGTTGGATCATAATAAACTTTATGACTAAATAAAATGAGCGGTAAAGAAGACACCATTGTTGCATCATGAAGGAAAATATGTGAACTTTTCATTTTACTGTGATAAACCAAATATGGACTTTCAAATGATTGCTGACTCTCATTAATGGATGATCTATGCAGCTTCACATTTCCATCTTCAGGAGTCCTCACGACCACCTCCAGCTTTCCAGATAATGTAAAGCGTTGAACTCTTCTAAAACCAACAGAATGACATGCAATTAACTCATGTTTCAGTTGAGAAATAATAAAATGATTCCGATTATCTCCCCTTAATACTAAAATTATTCAAAGCTTTCTACAATTTCACTGTTGCCACTTTTTTTCTGAAACAAATTTCCCTAACATTGATTTACAAGCTATTTTACTATCTAATTTATTAGGATATAAATACAGATAATAAAGAGTTACGTTATGTTGCAAAAAAATGATTTTGAGATTTTGATGGAAACACATTTTGGGGATCCCTCAAACAATTATTTTTAAAATAGTACTGCTGCTATGCTTGAGCCTGCAGACAAAAAGGCCCAGAGACATCACCCAGAAAAAAATGTTGGTGATCCCTGTGGTTGAAACCTGAGCCGCAATCACAGCGAGCTAAACAGTGTAAGCGATATCAAACAATCAATGTACTGTTATTTTACAAATTTAAAGTTGTATTGACTATTGACAGAACTGCAATGTTAACTCTCTTCAATGTCAAATCACCAAATTTCAAAGATACTTTCAAATTTGAGGGTCCATGACATTAGCCAGATTGGGAAGATTTATTTTGGTGCAAATCGTATTTATTGCCTAGGTGCTAGTGTTATTCACAAACAGATGCAAGGACAGACACATGTTTGAAACTAGTGGTGTTACAACAGCACATACTTTCTTAAATTGTTTGTAAATGTATGTAAAATTATAATATTAATAGAATCTGTTTAAGTGTTTTCAACCTGCAAAAATATTTGGCAAAGCTGAGGCATGAACCTGCTTTCTCAGGTGAGTTACAACCCACTCAGCTAACATTTCTGAAGCTAGTTATGGAATAACGTGTGGCATAATTTTTAAGAAAATTTTTAAAATGTCATTGGGGCTTGATGTAAAGTATTCCCAGAGACTAAAATATTATTTTCAAATTCAAAGAATCACAAATCAGCTAGATCAATAGGAGATTATTGAAGTTGGTAAAAATCCTGTGTAGTTTAGGTACTAGCATAGCATTAATCACAGAAACTCATCAAAGGCACACATTTTGTCACAAAAAAAAAAAACAACAACAACAAAAAAAAGGGGGGAGGGGCATATACCAAGGACACATGAAACGTAGATTCTGACTACACAATGTATTAGCAAAAGGTAATTCACTATACAAAGGAGTTAAAAAATTCTCCATTTACAATATCAGAGATCAACAATACAAGGTTTCTGTCAAAAGATCAGCCCATTAGTGCATTACATTACTTCTCAATACTATGTAGTGAGAGTAAAAGAGAAGAAAAGCACATTTTCCTTATCAGGGACCCCCAAAAAATGTTTCCATCAAAATCTCCTCTTTGATTTTTGCAAAACTTTCCTCATCTATGTGTATAAGAAATTAAAAAAGGAACTTTTCTCAGATTTAACATTATCATGCAAACTTACTCAACAATAGCAACATTTGGGTACAATCCAGCACAAATCACAGCTTTCAGAACACTGAAGTTTTCTGAGTTCGTGTTGGCACTTTCATCTTTGGAATTTTTAGTTTTCAAAAATCCCATTTCATGCAAATATTCTGCAAATTCGATCTTCAGTTTTCTACAATAAAAACGTTCTGTAAGTGAATGGCAAATACTGCTGAGAACTTAAGTTTGACACCTACAAAATTGGTTTCAGGTAGTTTGATCAAAAATGAAATAACAGCAAATAAAGACTAAATGGAACTCTCTGTGTTTCAGGTAGAATATAATAAACATTACCACCATAAACCATTCTCTATTATCTTAATGAATTATTTTTACCAAAAAGAAAAATATTCTTAGGAAAACAAGAAATGTTACTGAATGTATTGTTACATTACTACAATAACTTTATTCAATACAGTAGCAAATGTCCTTTCAACATATCCACATTCCGTCTGTACTTCAAGATATGTACCTCTAGTCTATACTTCAAGATGTTAAACTTTCATCTGTACTCTGAGAAATCTACCTCTTTTCTGTTCGTCATTCTACTTTCACAGTCTCCATAGTCTCTGAACTGCTGCGAACCTGTGTTTCATCCCAAGAAGGCCATGTATATATATATACACACACACTGTGTAGGTGTGTGTGTGCGCGCGCGTGTGTGTGGTGTGTGTATATATACATACACACACACACACCTACAAATTACTTAATAATCAACATTGTAAAATAATGCCGGCTTCATCCAATGCATTTCATTCTCTTGTCAAACACTTAAAAAATAAGAACACTATGTTTCATATGTATCAGATGAAAGAAGATCGAGCATTCAGACTAGTTTTGAAACACGTCAATGAATCCGTCAACAGATGTAGTCATGCTACACGAAGAAATAGAAAAATCAAGACATAAAGTTTGACAAATCTATAATGCAAAACACTGAGTTACCAAGGCACCAAAATCCTAATTTTTTGTTGACCTAGAACAAGCCAGCAACAATAAAAACATTTACGACATCACCTCAATAACTGCATTGTATTGTTTGAACCTGTTTGCAATAAAAAAAAAAATAGTGCAATGTAAAAACTGCTTGGCATATGGTCACATAAGTTATTGCGTAAAACCGAAGCACTGTATTCGGTGTGAAGATCACGTAATAGAAGATAGCGACAAAGCAAAAGTCAGCATGCCAATGTGCGACGTATATGAAAGAAACCATCGTCCAACATACAAAGGATGCATCATATACCAATCTCTTAAAAAGAAGAGATTCTCGGAATGTGTGAAAAATCAATCAGTTTCATTTGTTGCTTGTGCCATACCGCTACTGAAAGGATCTCGTATTATATTATGGCAAACTTCACTTATTGGTCATCTACATCTTTTTCTTCTCTGCGGACGCCGTTGACCTCTCCTCAGAGCTAGTTGTCGCCTCCTGAGATCTTCAAAGATCTCCCTTACGCACCCGACTGAAATTTTTCAATGTTCTGCTGCCGGAGGTGGCTTCAAGGTGCCGGGAGTCAACTTAGCGCTACCACTCCGTGGGCTCGCGCCTCAGCTAGGCTGAGTTAAGCTTCTATATTACAAGTTTCATTAGCGGGGAAATTGCTTCAGAGGCTGAGCGACAGGTTGCTCCTCAGGAGAACTTTGGAGCGAGGCAACTCAAGTTTTGGGCTCTTGGAGCAGATCACCCCGAGCCTCACTAGGATTATTTGAATGTTATACGGTCTTAAAGGGACTTTTATTATGAATGTATAAGAGTGGAACATTTATAAAAGTAAAATGCGTAACAGAAATAATTTAGCAAGGGAATTATAGGAATTTATCTAGGACCTTCCAAAGAAAATGTAGAAATGTAAAAAAACGTATAAGTGAGAAATGTGTAAATGGAGTTTCGCTTTACTGTTTGCTAGTGCAAAAATTTCCACCAGCCAAAGCAGCCAAAAAGTTTTGCATCAGTCAGTTTTCAGAATTATATTCTACTGATTTCTCTACTGCACCAGATAACCAAAGGGAAGTACGGGATTGCCAATTGGCATGTTGCAACAAATGGAAATAAGAATGACAGGAACCTTTTCACATAATTCACAAAATTCCCATCTCTCTTGTGGTTTGCATTATCCTTAGTACACAAATATTAACAATATACTGGGAAGCAAGGTAACTTCCTGCTCTAGCCACATCAAGATATCCGCATGAAAAATCAACAAATATAGGAAAAAGCTAAGACACTTTGTGTGGCTTTAGTAAATGACAAAATAGTGTGATCAGGTGAACAAAGATTATGAATAAAAGTTCAAAATATCATCATTCCTACCTAAGATCTCGAAAAGTAGCCATTGATAGAAAATTATCCCAACAAAACTTTCGAGCCGCTTTTTTATTTTTAACTTCTTCCCATAATCGGAAGGCTTCAGCTAGAACTAAATGGTCACTTTTATTTCCCTTTGAAATTATGATTTTCTTTGCCATTACTTCTTTATCTTGCCCCTGAAATAATAATAACAATAATAAATAACATACAGACAGTACAAAGAACAGTCAGTGAAGCAATGACATTTTTTTGCCAATGAACATACAGTGGAAAATTGCCTATAACAATATAGAACATAGGCTTCTGTGGCCAGTGTTAGTAACTGCTTGGCTGTTATGGATCTTCAACTTCCCAATTTTGTGTTGTTACCCCTGATTTTTGGGCAACCCCTTATTCTCCAATGTTTGACAGAGACACGAAATCTCGACAGCATAAAAATGTGAGCTGGTGAACATTTGTGCACTGTTATAAGCAATTTCTTGTTGCCCCAGAAGTTAGTAACATTTATTCTGGGGTAAACTGTATTGTATATTTTACTGTACATACTTGAATAAACCCTGCCCTCAAACAACTTTACAGACAAGAATCTCGGACCCCCCCCCTTTAATGAAACAAATAACACCATTAATTAATTAAATTAATTGTTAATGTAGAAAAAATTTCGCACTTACAATAAAGAAAAATAACATGAAGTTTGTTTTTATCAAGCAATAAACATTAGTTTTTTCAAAACGTGTTTTGTTCTTACGCTAATGACAAATGTGACTTTCATTAAGACTTCCTTCTGAGCCATTATAAATTTCTTATGCTTCTTCTATCATGAGTAATTTTTCTTTTGCAGTTAAAGATCAAGCTTAAAGTTTGCGGTATTATTTGCATACGTTTTCTCCAGCCCTCATTTCGGTAGATGTAGGAGGGGAAGAGGAGGGGTATTTCGACATCAGGACTTTTATATCCAATCTGTAGCTCGTTTCTTGACGCAAAATAGTTTCTATTACATGGAAGTCAATATTTTTGGTTACCAGATTTAGTCAACAATGCTCATTGATATCATTTATTCCTATTTCAACTAATGTTAGTTAAGGAGTGGGGGTAGGTATTCCAGGACTCAAGAAAACATGTGCCTGTAATACCAACCTTGAGGTGAATAATACCCACACTTCAATTTTCAGCCACCAATTTTTGACAAAAATACATGGAGATTATTTGAGTATATACAGTACTTCTCAAATTATTATTACTACCATCTATTTTAATCTTAATTTAATGTGTAATTTAGCATTAGAATTGAAATATAAATTCATAGTCCAAGAATTGGAGCCTTAATACTCTGTTACATAAGTTTCATACAAATTCTACATGGTTGAAGAAAATCCATTGCTCTAGAGTAAGAAATATAATTATTAACGAACTGTTTCTAAAATTCACATAAAAAAAAAAAGAAACTTTACGAATATTCACTTACCAGAGGCATGAAGAACGGTTCTTTGAAACTCAAACAAGCAGCCAGTGATAAAATAGGATCCGCACAACTGAAGATAGCACCCAAAATTATCATTTTGGCAATGTGAGGTTCCAGAGGTAATTTTGCCAAGTGGAAGCCAAGAGGTGTCAAATTTTCATCACCATCCAAAGCGCGAAGTGTCTCTAAAAGCTAAGAAATTAGTTATTAATAATTTATCAAGAATATTCACAGGTAAATTCAATCACCCTTCATGCTGCCAGTTGCATATATTTTGTGAGTGAACATTCCTGCCTGAGATATGGGCTAATATTCTAGAAATTCTTATAGTACCCAGACTTTTAGATTGCAGTACGAAATTGTACTATATGAAGGCATTGCAATAATATGCAAATTCCATCCACATGATTCCTGCAAAACTCTTCATCGAAGTTGGAATCTTATCATCAAACAAAAGGAAATTAAGTTAACAAATTGCCTCATCTAGATCTAAGTCGCAACCCCTAATCACTATTCACCAATACTGATGATTGAGATGACGGTCATTATTTGAGCTCGGAGGTTTGTCAAAATACCTTTTTATTATTGTTATGATTTTATTACTTTTAACAAAAGGAATACTTCATTCTACTTCTTGAGTTGTTTCAGTAGATTTTCATTTTGCCTATTTTAGCCCATGGCGAGACTCGAACCTGCAACTCTTTCGAACGAAGTGCCGAGTACCTGCTCTTAGCCACCTCAGTCTACCAAGAACTAATAAGTAATAATTCTGAAGTTGTTATGAACAGAACCAAAAGCAAAATATTAAACAGAACCAAAATCCTATTAAGTATGATATGAACATTTTTAATAAAATTTAACATAAATGAAAAATACCTTCAGAGATGAGTTGACTGTCTTGGGATTGGGACTGTCCATTATGCGATTGAGAATAGTAGCAACTTTCCCAAGCTCCAAGAGTTTGATGGTAAGGATTAACTCTTCAAGTCGAGTCCTGAGAATCTCAGGTGTGGGAAAATCATCAAATAAACGTTCCCGGGCTTTAGTATACATGTGATAGCATTTGCCACGTTGCACCCTAAACATAAAAATTTAAAAGAATTTTAAAAATCAGTTGAAATGATTCACCTCATAAATTAAAAAATTAATTCATGTTTCACTACAGAATATCCACCAGTCACATCAATCTGTTTTCTCTTCCTTCAGCACACATATACCCCAAAAAGATGGTAAAAAATGCCTGTACCAAAATAAAAAATGTTTTGAATAATAATTCTCCTCCAAAACAAGAATTTCTCATGTGTTTTTCCAATTTTCTAACATCATTCAACACTTCTATGCAATAAAAAATACGTCTTTTATAATTTTTATTGTTCAATGACTTTATGTTTTGAATTGGAGGGGAGGAAATTGTAGTTTTTAAGTGTTGTAATGCATTATTTTTTTCCAATTTCGAATTTTAAAAAAAAGAACATGTCTATTGGCTTTTAGAAATTCCTAAGGTCATTGAATCTATGAACAAAAAGACAATTGTAAGTAGAACATTTACATTTAACTGTAGTTTTATTGAAAATTTTCAATACAGCATGGTTTCATCCCAGTTAAATACGTCCACCTTGTTGTACCCAGATGTGATCTCTAGAATTCTTTCCAGACACTCACCTGGTGTGTTGTAATCACTGCCCTTTGCTTCTCCATATTAAGTCTTGCAAGATACTTGATGTTTCTTCTTGAACGATTCCAAGCATCCATTTGAGACCTAAAAATTACTCTTGTCTAACTGAAGAGCGATTTCAATAACCTAGACTTGTTCAATGGGCCCTCAAATAGGCATGTTCTTTGACTGTGTAGTGACCACCTCCATATGACTTCATTAACTCTTTCATTCCACTTTTGCAAATTTTCACGAATTGCGTGGACTGTCATTCTTCCTTTGCAGTAATGCTTTCACATGTTGTTGCAATGTCAAGTTTACTTTTCGCTGAATTCATCATACCCCAAATCACTACATTAAAGACACTGTAATTACTTAATTAAAGACTTATAACAGTTCAACTGCTGTGATTATTCAAACTGACATTTTTCACATAAGCGTCTTGGACTGGAAGAGGAAGGACAGAAAGGATGTCATCAGAATCAGCTTCCCCTCTGGGAATCTGACAACATCTAGCAGATCTTGCTGTGTGTCCTAAGCAGTTGTGAAGGAATTCCTTTGTCTGATGCCTCCCCTTTCTGGAAGTGCCAGGTTGCCAGCTCAAAACTGACAAAGGCTGTCCGTTTTCACATTCACTAGGTTCCATTAACAGCCGGTAAAATTACATGCATCTTATATACTTGGGATTTTTTTCCTTTGAAGGCAGTTTTCCGTAATTACCAGGTTCCATTTTTGATAGGTTCTTTTTTGTACACATTGTTTCTTTAATTTTTCTTTTCTTAACTGCCACTAAGCAGACACTCATTAGTAATCAATTATTATTAATATTATAAATAAAAAGTAACTCCACAACATATGTTGTAATTGGAAGACAACCACATGTTTTTTGGTGGTAAATTGAGGAAAAATGTATTGTCTTGGATTGGGAGATCTAAATTAACTACCCTAATTGCATGGTTAATTATTGATTATTCTTCTTCAGTACAAGCAAGAAAAAACACTCAAAAGCAATCTGACTAATCTTTTTAACAGTGGTAAGCACAATTCTGAGGCCACAAGCCCTGTTGAGAAGGACATTCATGAATAATTAAAAAGATTCACTTTATAAGGCAGGAGGTGTAACAATGACCTAATGCCAGTCCGGATGGCCGAGATCATTAAGGCAGTGGTCTTGTAGAGATCTCTGACTGAAGAATTGTGGGTTCAAATCCCTCTTCGGACGTGGTTGTGTTTGTGTTCATCCTCTCACCTCCTAACATCACCATATCATGTCATCTTCAAAGTTACTATACCGTTAAATGCAAGAGTGGTCACTAATGATCTAGATGTTGATGCGACCTTTAAAAAAAATTAAAAGAAGACCTTTTGGGTTCAGCCACTTCAAAAAAATCAAAGTACAGATATTTTTGAATCTGGGTTTCCATGGGTGTCATTACGATTGAAATATTATCTCAGTGTGGAGGAAGTAGTGGTAGTACACACAGACTTGAATTTCTCATACCAGGAACTGTTGCCAATGGAATTTCTCATAGCCCTCTTACACAACTGAGACCACCTTCTGAGAGACAAGCAACAAATCCACACTCTAGTTTATCAAGCAGAGCTACAGTTTTTATCTGGTTGCAGAGAACTTCCGGGGATTAATATTTTTGGTTCACTATATATGATGATGTCGAAATTAAATACAATTTCTTCATACCATTGATTTTATTAATATAAAGATATGGCAATATACATTAACATGACAAATTTCAATATCTTTATTTGTCCATAAAAATAAATTCAATTGTTTACTTTTTCATTAGTAAATTCTCTAGATCTCTCTCCAGAGTTGCTACTCTCTCCATACGTTGATTCTGAAAAGTTTTTGTGTGTCTCAGTCTTGACCCCCTTCAATGTCTCCCGAACTGTTGGAGCACTGTCCCACTCTCTGAAGGCCCTTTTACACACCTAATAACATATGAGATGCTTTTGGTAGCGGGATGGCATAAGCAATTAATGAAACTGATCACTTTGAAAAATGCAGTAGTGCATATACCGGCTGTTTTTGGCAGTTGCATCTTCCTGTCATCAACATAGAACTCGACGCGCTTTGTCCCATGGAATATCAAGTAACATCAAGTTGGACACTGAGCAAGAAGTCACACATTACCGCTACCAGTTGTAGCCCATGCAGGACTCGACTTTTGTTTCCGCAATGAAACTGAGTGGCATAAGGTCATCAGTAGACATCGGATGTTTAGGAAAATGCCTATTTTATTCTAATGAAAATATTTAAAGGCATTTAATATACTACATTTTTTTTTTCAATAAACGGGATAAATCCTTAAATTAAAAAAATGCACAAAGACAAAATGTACAAGTACAAAAATCAAAATATAGTTAAAATCATAAAAAGATAAGAATGATTATTTATATATTTTGTTAATAGAAAATAACAGTAATTTAATAAAATATCACTGAGAAAAAAATTTAATTTTTTTGTATTTTATATACTTATTTTTTTCATTATTTTAATGTATTATTTTTATTCAAAATTGCAAAATTATTATTTTTTTTTAGCCTGTTACCTAGAACTCATATTGACAAATTACTGAAAAAAAAATCATGTGACTATTTTTTTTTATTACAGAGAAAATTGCACTTGAATCTTTAAAAAATTACATACCGGAAAACTGCAAAAGAAGCAACAATTATATCCAGGCTTAAAATTATCTCATTTTAATAGTTTCCAGCTCCATATTCATCTTGTTTCAGCTTCTCTTCATCTTCTGCTTTTCTTTTCATAAACTCTTCTTTTCATCCTGCTTTCTTTACTCATATTTTCTGCATCATAATCAGCTTTTCTCAACCGCATTGCATCTATTTGGCAGAGAGCACTCTCCATATTTCTTCCTGCATTGATACCCAATTCCTCCAGTACTATTTTTCTGCTGATCACGCCCTCATTAAAACATATGATAGCATCATACACTCCTATCTCATAACACTACCACTTACAAAAAATTGTTTTTGGAATTCTCTCCCAAATACAATGATGAAAACTCTCATTCGGGTTTTTGAGTCTTTCCATGCATACATTTTGACAGCAATCTCTCATCACTGAGATCCCTATAAATAGGTTTGATGCACGTCATTACAGAAGTAGGCAATGAGTGTTTGTTAGAAAATAATTTTCCCCCCATCGCTGCGGCCTTGTTGAATCGACACAATGAATCTTTCCTTGTGGGCAGTCCATGAACTGGATTTTCATCTGTGACAGTTTATGAAAAAATGTTCCCATACTTCCTTTCCTCACATCTTTTACACTTTGAGCGCAGCCATTTCTTCTTATTGCCAAACCATAAATACTGCTGCAATAAATTAATTTGTGTGTCAGTCAATCGACCCTTCCAAAAGTGGTTTTCCCATCTTCAAGCTTTTTCCCTTTGTATTCATTCCTTAATTTTCTTAGCCTACTGCCCATTCTCTTCTGAACATGGCTACAACATTCTAGTTTTTCAATCTTTTGTGTACCATATACATTAGCTTCTTGGACCTTCAAAAAACCTTTCGAATCACCATCACCCAAATACTGTATGTATCGAACAGCTCTTTCCTCCTCTGATCTTTTGAAAATAGTTAGAACACCATTACTTTCCATCCTCCACTGTATCCCTCATAATTCTTCTCACAATTATGGGTGTGGATTTCCAACAGAACACTTATGGCAAAACTTGGAGAGACAGACAACATCAATGACTTTTGCTGTTTCTAAAGAAGTGGCAGTTACTACCTCCATTCAATGATGTATGGCCACGTTTGTGCCAGGTACCATCAAAGCTGCAGCAATGTCAGTAGTCATCATCAATGAACTGTTTCCTTGATTGCATCTTCATGGAAGCTTCTGCTACTGTCTTCAGTCCTTCTAAAAGAATATTAGTGTACATGGAAAACTTTGCTGCGTGGTGGTGGAAGATTCATCACAGCACAAAAAGTGTTAGCAGCCATTCTACCTCTTCCAATGCACCTCATTGCATAGCACATTCTAATATTTATTTCATAACCCTTATTTACTTTATTAGAACTCATGGCCAGATTGTTTATTTGCACATTTACTGCATTTCACAGTTAATTTTGAGGCCAGACCTTTCCTCGCAGTTTCATAAATTACTATACTGTTTTCTGAATCACAATTCTTGCATTTTAACACTGAGTTTATAAAAGAAGAAAAAATACTAAGATCTATAATAACATTACCATTCACAGCACTATTTACCCTAAAACTGTCATCTCCTTCTTGTAAATACACCAGTTTTCTTCGAGAGGCACTTTCAGGAGTAGAGGTTATATTGTTTGTATCACTTCGAACTGGGTAATATTCTTGTTTGCACTGCTTGGTTTTGTAATAACAATTACCATAGAAACTTTCCTTTCCCAAATTTTCGTACTTGGCCCATATTTTAAACTATTCGTGCACACGTAGGAACAGCACAAGTTGGCCACAACGTCAGTAAACAATAACTTTGTAAACACAACGCACGTTTCCATTGATACACATATATTCTAGAAACTCTCTGATTACCACATGGCTCCAACATCTAACAGAGAAATAAACAAATAACACAAGTAACGATTCACTGTTAAAAAATAATATCATTATTCGAATATGACACGAAAAGGGCGTGTTTTGCCCCGGGTGACATTTAAAACAATATGGCGCAGATATTTAAATGGCCATTTAAAAGGTTTAAAGAGCCTGAAATCAAAAAACAAAATATACCACCTTGTTGAGAAAAGTTCAAAGAATTTTATGGTGAAAAAAAACAAAATTGCATTTTTTGAGCCCAAAAACCTTCTGTCTACCCTTAATTGTGTGAAGATACCAAAGTGACTCACTCAGTAAAAGCTCATTGATATTCTTTCATGTTATATTGTTTTTTGATATTGACAAATTTTAGGTGCAAGTGAAGTGAAATAATTGGGGCTTTTTTCCTCCAATTTTGTTTTTATTACCATTTTTGGTGCCTATTTAAAATGTGTGGTTCGTTGCCTTCATTTCAGGGAAGACTTCTTCATTTATGATCTTTGGGCGACAATGTTTTTTTCAAGCTGTCTAGTGTTGGAATTTGTGGCACTGAGGCAATGTATTCTCTTCCAGGAGGGAATTAATTTTCAGGAGGTTATTTCCTATGTTCACTATACCCGACTCTTCTTATGCTCGTTTGAAATGAAAGTGAAATGGGACCAATGGCTTAAGTTTACTATAACCAAGGGTTCACTATTTCCAGAGTCAACTGTACATACGTAAGAAAGTTAAAAGAATAGTAACTATATATTCTCACCTTCCAGCACGACCTCTGCGTTGCACAGCGTTTGCTTTACTAACCCACTGGTCTTGTAAAACAGAAACATTTTTCTCTGCATCATAGCTTTTCACTTTCATCTTACCACTGTCTATAATATAGACAACATCATTGATAGTAATGGATGTTTCTGCTATATTAGTAGAAATGATAATTTTTCGAACTCCTGAAAAGTTTAATAATTTAAATCCATAACACATCATTCATAGCAAAACAACGTTTGTTTTATGACATACTTATGTTTAATGATTTTGTATTACTATTGTTCGTTATTGTATTATATTAATCATATTGCATTTTCTTTTAACCAATATATTTGTTGATAGTTTATTTTTAAAATTTATTTGTACTTCACCTACAGTATTCACTATTCCTTGATTTCTTTTACATTTTAGATCATGAGAGCAAATTACGTAATAAAATTTGTCAGTGACTCTGATGCATACCACTATTATTCTGGGATATTCTATTTGATTTATGAATTGTATACTTATGTACACTTATTTACTTACTACAACAATTGTAAGGGATATTCCCAGACAAAAATTCAATAAATGAATCTTCCTTCAGGAACAACATATAATACTAGCTCGTATTATGTGCACCTATTTTTTTCTAAATTTCACAACAAATAATATTACAACACACAAAACGGTTAATCAAAGATGCATTGTTTAAATTTGAAATACATTTATTTAAAATTAAAGAGATCATTTGTCCTAAAAATACAAGAGAAAACAAATTTCTATCACGTACCTGGTGGTGGGGGATCAAAGACTTGTGACTGATTAACAGAAGGCATTTTTGAGTGTAGAGGAAGTATTAGAAACTGTCGATCTAATAAAAATGGCAACAGTCATTAGTCTAACTTGACACTAGTGAGCATAGAATATATATTTGAGAAAAAAAAAATATTTTTGAAGATTCTCAACAACCTTTAACTCCTGTCAAGATTTTTATCTCACGTTTCTCTGCCTCTTCATCATTCTCAAATTCCAACTCGTCTCTGTCTTCTGAAGCTTGTTTGGGCACTGAAATAGAAAATTGAATAAGCAAAGAGTACAATGACATGACAATTTTAGTAGGAAAATGACATATTTTTGGCCCACTGTCAACCTGTATTTAAGTACACACAAGAGAACAAAAACCATCACTCACAAAAATATATATAAAGAAGAAGTGAAGAAAAAAGTGAGGGAATGATTTTCACGTTTCTTTCTCTCCAGTTAAATGAATGTACAATTTTAAATATTATAATGTATGGTTTAGAATAGGTTAACTTTTGCTGTGTACAGACACTATGCATTCATGTACTTAAAAAGACACTCAAAGCAGTAAGTTCTTCTATCATATTGTGCATTGCCAAAAACTGCATCAAAGACTTTGACACCCAGAAGAGGTGAAGTGTCAGCTGTCAATGCAGGAAGACCACTGGTCACCCAAATCTTTTTCCCCACATTTTCCCTGTATTCTCTTTCTTTAAGCATTAACAGAGCCAAATCAGAATGTAACTAGTGGTGCTACAGAATGGCACAGACGTTCCCATATTAGTTTTCTATTTACTTTGGCCTCGGCTAGCTATTTGAACTTGCCACATACCACCTATCGCCACCAAAAGTACATTTTTTGAAATTTTTTCAATTTTTAGGTTTCCTAATAGTAGAACGGAAATATTATTTTAAGAACTTTAAAGAACAGTAAAACCTCTGACTTGAATTGTCTTGCTTATTTTCAAAGATAATAAATCATCCTTTTCTTTAAATTTTCGACTGATGTTGAATTTATTTATGAAACATCTAAACAAAAAAATAATCTATTATATTAAATCTGACTTGTGAAGTCTCCAGTGCACTATGCTTACAGTCTGTGACACTTTTATTATATCGTTGCAGTTGGGGTTCCTAAAACTCATGATTTAAAAGAAAACTAAAAAATTCAATTTAAATAATTGTTGAATGATGTGTTTTTAAATTTCAATAATTCTTATCTCTTTCCTTCCATAATAACAATTAACAAAGGGACAGATTTGAAGGTTTAAATTACACTTAAATATATAATAGTAAACAAGAATGTCAAAACAGCATGAACTTTTCCATCCTTTCATACAATCTTTCAGAATACAAAAAATCTATCATAACAGAATAGACGATTCAAAACATATTCATCTGGCAGACACATATCACATATCATTATGCAATATTGCAATAATATGCGATAATATGCAAATTTGTTCACAAACATGTTGTGTTTTGCTTTTTAGGGCAATTAAAATGGGTTTTGAGTGACTTATAGAGGTGATGAATACCTCATTTGATTCCTCTCAATGAGGCAAACGCATTGCTTTCAGGCAGATCCTTTTATACACTTTCAAAAAAACTAATAATTTCAAGGCACTTACAGTGGAGAAACACAGTGAATTACTACAATTATTGCATTTCCGACATAACATGAATTCTTAGGTCATTATTGAATAAGATTAACAATTTTGAAAATATTTTTAGCACTTCTTTCAATGAATTATATACACTGAAAAATAAGACATCTTTGAATATTTTCAAATGGTAAATGAAGATTTATTTATTACATGTCATAAAACCAGCTAACCCAAACATTGCATTAAACATTTGTGTGAATTGTAAGTTTCCTATAGATTGTTTAATAATGAGATGCATTTTATAGAGGTTTGTACTATATTTCCTGAAAATTTTAAAGGTCAGTGACGCCATTTCGAAATATGATCCATATATTTCTCTTACCACCAATAATGCTGAAAAATGGTGAACTTGACAGCATTCTGCACAGATTAGATATCTGATCCCAACCAGGAAGAAATACTAGAATTGCTCCAGGTCCTTCGTTCTCACAAATATGTTCAATTAACTCTTGATATAATTCTAAGTTTAATGCCTCACTATCAGGTTCCAATAACTGGTCAATAACCACTTCTCCAAACTTATGGCGAAGAGAGCTACATAAAGAATTGAAAACGATAAGTTACCATTTACAATGCAAAAGTAAATTATTTAAAATGCATTAAATAAATGCTCATTAGCTATTATTCTGAAATATCTCCTTTCAAGCATTCATAAATATTATCAACATGCAGAGTGATTAAAATTTCAAATTGATTTAGGGGTTCTGGCATACTTACAGAACGTATGGAACAATCATATCAGAAAACTGATTATAAGATGCATCTTGTCTAGGTCGTGATTTTCTTTGTTTCATTTTCACATATCTAGAATCAATGTAGAACAATACAACATAATAAATTATGATAATTACAAGTTTTTAAAAAATTTTCTTAGTAAGTAGTAAAAAAGTAATTAAAAAATTGACACATCTCAAAACAGTAGAGTTCAATTTAAGTTGAATTAGTGGGGGGTTGTGAAAAAAGTCTTAATCATTTATTCAATATTGCTTTTTGCAAAGAAAATTAATTATTTTGTTGAATAGTTCTACCCACCCACAAATTGAAAGTCTGGCTACATTTTGTGTATGTCATGTAAATAAACAAAATGTTATTTAAACAACACAGATGAAATATTTCAGAGATATTTAAACAATTCACAAGAGAAAAAATAAGGTCTAAAGATTTTGGAAGTAAAATATCTAGCCATTAAGACCTTCATTAACATATAATACATATCACATATTACAACGTACAAAGGAAAAGCAAATTTCTTTCTTCCATTCAGGCGATCATTGAGAACTGTGCAACTAATACCGATATGTGTGGTAGGCCAATGTAAGTGGGAAAAAATGGTCAGCAGTTTGAAGAGAAAAATATGAGACCTTACATGTCCTAGCAGGAGAACCTCTACCCAGACAAGATGGAATATTGATTACAGTCATTAATGAAATTCAGAATGTTATCATCAAATTCCTTGAACCAAAAAACTTGATAAATCAATATCAACCTTTCAAAAGCATACATACCCAGTCATTGAAATAATATCTTCCAAGTAATATTTCTCCACTGGGTACAGTTTTCCAGGTACTGTAATAATTGGGCATTTGTAAAAATAAGCTGCAAACTGCTCTGCATTGAGAGTAGCACTCATTAAAATTACTTTCAAATCCTTTCTCTGAAAACAATCCATTAAATCAAATATTTAATAATTAAACAGTATAAAGAAAATATATTTTAAATTGAAAAAGATGCTCAAAATTTCCTTCACATCACGATTATATATGTTATGACACAAATAAATTACATACGAAATCATTCTTACAATATTTGATGTCATTCAATAGTTAAAGAGAAAAATTATTCTAGAACTACAATCAATCATTTAATCAATAAGACATTTTTTCACTTATTAACACATTTGTTTAATCTCAGCTCGTTAACCAATTGCTTTACTACAATCTGTGAAATCATACAAGTTAAGCAACTCAAGACATCAAAGATTCCTGGGTGGGTGACCGCCCAGGAACCCCAGTTACTAAAATTTTTGTTCCGAGGCATCTCTCAGCCAGGTTAGACTGCAGTCAGATTTTCTACTAAGCAGGGTGCAGTAGAACTGAATTTGCTTGTGCATGTGTTCACAAAGTAAAAAATCATTAACTCTAAGGATTTTCATTCTTACTTGATTAGTATATCCAAGGAAATGGACAAGATTAGTAAAATAAAGAAAGAAGAATGATGCCTTGGCAAGTACAAAAGAGCACACAAGTATCATAAATCTCAGAGAAAAAATAACATACTAAATTCTTTCACTTTTCTCAGATTCTCAAACTAAAGGCAATTCAGTTTTACCTGTTTAGGAGTCACCCAAAACTCCCATTTTCCAGTTCTATCACTCATTCAGGCAAGATATGCAAATTCTATTAATTAAATTGTCATATTGTAATTTTACAAACCATAAAGATGCAATACCACTGGCTTTGTCCCATTTCTCACCTGTGGTAACACTTCCCGAATGACAGTCATCACAAAATCAGTATCCATATTGCGCTCATGAATTTCATCAATGAGTACATGAGTAACATGAGAGAGACCTGGATCAGAATGAAGCCACTGGAGAAGGATACCAGTGGTACAAAACAAAATACTCCCCTGTTTCCGAGGGAGCTGCCTTTAAAACAACAAGATAAATACATGTATATACACTGAACATTATAACACCGCAACATTTCACCTATCATAAGAGTAAAGAGCAATAGATGGAATTAAGTTCAAAGAACGCAAGAAAATACTTTAAAAAAAAATATTTTTTTTTCGATTGTTACAAAACTATCTTTAATGTTTTGGATAGAAACTATATGAATGTGGGTATTTGCTTTTGTTTGAGCAGACTAGAAATAATGATTACAGTATGTTCCTAACAAAACAACATACTGACAAAATTGTACTCTCTTAATTGGTTTATGCTGGGTTTTCTTTCACCAAATGAGTCACCAAGCCAGATGATAATTATTAGTGTTACTCCAGATCAAAGCCGACATGATTTGTTTGAAAGGGAATTGGAGAAGCAGGCATGCTCTGTCAGAATGAATTAATATTTTCATTTCTCATTTCATCATGGATCAAAAGCTAACAATCATACCTTTCGGAATGAAACTACGTTTTTTTACCCACGAAGAACACATAACTCCAGAAAAATACAATTAAAAAATCTTTAAAAAGAGAGAAGAAGAAGAAGGAGGAAGAAGTGGAGGAGAAGGAGATCAATTTTTAATTTGCAGGCCTTTCAGTTTGGCCTGATTGATTAGGGAAGATTTGATTTGGAGAAAATCCTATGTTTCATGCATTATATGTCTTCACAAACAGAATATATACAGAAAATACAGAAAAAAACAGAACTTTTTCACCAATAAGGAATTTACCTCTAGGATTGAAAATATTTTCATGTGTGAACCCTAGAGAATTGGACCTTTCATGATATTTCCAAAGGCAAATCACTGTTTCTGTGTTCTTCAACCTTAAATGACTAAAAACCAAAATTCTAATTGTTCTGAAAAAGTAATATACATACAACATTCAAGAACATTCGCCACTAGGATTTAAACTATATTCACATGTGAACGAGAG